TGTTTAGGTCAAAGTTGTAATTTGCATGTAAATTTGAATGTTTATCAACATGAATATAAACAAAAAAAAAACCATTTAACTTAAATTCTCCCAATAGTTTAAGAAAATAATCAATTAATTTTAAAATAATTGAATCATTTTTCTTATTTGGAATTCTCATTAGGAATGAAAATGGAAAATAGCAATGTTATTATTCAATGAGCATTTATAACATTTCAATTTCATTCTTCCCCCCTTTCCCCAAACTATGTCTAAATTACTAGTTGAAATTATTATAAATGTATATTAGAATGTTCATAATAGTTAAGAGAATTAATTATTTTAATACTAAATGAAAATACTGTACACAGAAAAATTATGTTTTTTTCATGAAAATTCATAAGGTCTAATTTAGTTGAAATGATTTTATTAAAATAAGTAATACATTAATAATGATCTCTTTCCGCATAGTCGATGAAAACATGAATATGATGTGATATATATATGACCAATGAAATATGATGAAAATAGGAGTCTTTGAATGCCTAAGTTGCTATGTTGTTGTGATGGCTCAAAGATAAAATATAAATTTATCTTTGATATTGTTGACCATCAATGACATAAAATGTGGCGACCGTGTTCGCCGCTATCATCATTAATGAATTCATCTTGTAGTGCTCGACGAACCAACAAAATCGTTTCATTAAACAATTGCCTCTTGGCCTATGAATATTATTGAGCCAATTGATTCTCCTTTTATGGTTCATATTTTTATATTGGTAACCATAAATTAATTATCTAAATGGGCAGAAGGTATCCCATTGCAATAAATATAAGGCAAGTGATGCATAGCAATTATTCAGGGATGATATCATTTATCAATTTAGACTGGCATATCAAATCATTTTTAATAATGAATTATCATTTAAAAGTACAAAGATTTTAAAATTTGATCATCATCGAAACATCAACTGACGATATTGTACCATCTACTATTCTAAAGTCAATGATTTAGCTAAAGCTTTTAATAAAATCTTAGTTCAATTAACTAAGAAAATCCTACATGCAAATAAAAAAAAAAAGGTGCCATAATAAGTGGGCAAAAGTTTGACAAAATTCGACGCCCATTTTCTTGATTGCCAAACTCCGCTCCTATAAGGAGAATGACCGAGCAAGACTACTAGTCAATTTTTAATGCCCGATCTTCCCAATTGATCTTCGCCTGACATATACTAATATTTGACATTTGTTAACCATTGATACGCACCTTCCTGATCATCAATCTCCCCTCATATAAGGAGAAGGACAGAACCATCCATCATCAGCCAATGTTTCCAATCAAGCGCCATCAAATGCCAGTCAAAGTCCAACATTTATCATCAATCGACGTCTGATACACACTTAGTTGGTTATCACCCCCTCCCCCAAAAAACACCCAATAACAGCATTGATAGTTGTCTAATGTTCATGATCTATCATCACCTAACGCCTTCCAATCAACAAAACCTAATGTCAAACACGCACATTGGATGTTTGTCTTTAAGATCACCCAATCTCCTTAATTATAAAAATAGTGATTGATATGACTGCCCACCATCGCCTAATGACAACTCCGTCATTTTAAGAGTCAGCAACTCATATATATTCATTGTATTATGTTTTCTTCAGTTACAAGAAAATAACATTATTTATAATATTTGACTCTCACTAATAAAATTATTTCAATTGAGTTGGGCTTTATAATTATCCTCCTTTATAAGCTTTCTATGTAAAAAATCTCGTCTCTTATAAACTATTCTGACATATTTTATGTATATAAATTTTTATTTCAATTCTAAAACAAAATCTTTCTCTACCATCATGAATATTCTAATATACAATAATTTATATTTAATAAATATTTATGCAGTTAAATTATTATTCATTAACATCAACAATATAATGCTATTAAATCATATATTGATTTAATGACATATTAAATCAATACTTCATAAATAATATTATATTTATATTTCAGACAAGATATCTAGATATTGATCAAATCTATTAAAATCTACAATTAAAGCTATAAATAACATGCGATAATAATTGCTATATACTGAAGAACAATACACTTAAATTCTTATTCAATAGAGAACTTAACGGAACAAGTGAAATTTTTTTTCTTTGCAGCTAACTTTGGGTCACTCCAGTAACAACAAATGCTAGAAAGAACTCACCTGAGAGTTATTAAGACAGCCAAATACAACTATAAATATGCTTTTCATTCTCACTTCTTGTCAACCTATACGAGGCTGACACGTGTATACCGCTATCTCTACGTGTAATAAGGACTTAACACGAAATAATATTTCTTCTTCTTGTTACTGTTCATCTTCGTTCTCGAGCGCTCATCTACACGATAGATGAGTTTCCACATGGTATCAGACGGGTGCCGATTCTGACGAACGGCAATGGCAAATCAATCTTGCGCGTCGTCTTCTTCTCGACAGACTTCGGAAGTAGTAAAATCTACTCAGGCGATCTCACAGTTGCTCAAATTCGTGATTTCTAACCTCAAGCTACTGGTTCCTCATGCTCTTACTCCAGAAAATTTTCCCATCTGGAGTACCCAAATCGCCAAACTATTCAAGGCAAATGGGTTTGCTGAGTTTCTTGAGCCGACAACAACTGATGAAAACGCCGATCCCAATCAAGATCCTCAAGAACGGGCTGCGTTGGATCAAAATCTTGCTACGGCAATTTGTTCCACGATATCACCGGCAGTTTTACCGTATGTGATTCATCTTGAATCCACATCTGTCATATGGAGCACGCTTCATACTAGGTTCCAGTCGTCCAACCGATCCAAAGTAATTCAGCTCAAGCATGAGCTTCACAATGTCTCGATGCAGGGTATGACAATGATTCAGTACCTCACTGAGATCAAAAAGATCATTGATCACATATCCTCCGCTGGATCTACAATTGATCCTGAAGACGTGATAATTTACATTCTAAATGGACTTCCCGCTGAGTATCATGCTTTCACGACTTCAATCAGAACAATGCAATCGTCGCTATCTCTGGACAATCTTTATTCTCTTCTTATTAGTGAGGAGATTCATCTAAAATCCGCGGCGCTCAAATTTCCCAAGGCACCTGATAATCAAGCCGCTCTGTTCACTTACCGAGGCTGTGGTCGTCGTGGTCGCGGCAGACAAAATCCTGAAGCTGACCGAACCCATATGACCTCTTCGACTAGCAAATCGACCGGAGTCATATGTCAGATTTGCAAGAAGAAAGGTCACCAAGCCGACGCTTGCTGGCATCGGCTCAACCCAAACTATGTCCCCAATCAACAATCCGCAAAACAAGCTTCGGCTCTTCTTGCCAACACAGATGGTGCTTCTGCTACGGATTGGTATATCGACTTGGGTGCTTCATCCCATATGACAAACAAGATTGGCAATCTTGATAATGTCTATGAATACAATGGCTCTGACACGGTAACAATAGGGGATGGAAGGTCCGTTCCCATTGCTCATGCTGGAACGGGTATCCTTCCAACTCCATCCAGTAAGCTACTACTCTCCAAAATCCTTCATATTCCATCTCTCTCTTATAATTTACTCTCAATTTCAAATTTAGTAAAGGATAATCCGATTTCCATTACATTTGATGCTAATGGGTTTGTTTTTAAGGATCGGAGGACAAACCAACCTATCCTACACGGACCGTGTAAGGATGGTCTATACAAAATTGTTACTCATTCTTCACAGGAGCTCAAGGCGTTATCCGCTGACAAAGCCTACAAACTCGACTGGCATTCCCGATTAGGACATCCGAACAATCGGACGCTACAACTTATTTCCTCTGTTAATCCTGTTCTTAAAATTTCTGTTCCCAAATTTCTTTGTAATTCTTGCTTAGCATGTAAAGGTCACAAATTGCCATTTGATAACTCTACTAGTATAACAACCGCACCGTTACAATTAGTTCATTCTGATCTGTGGAGGCCGTCGCCCGTAGCCTCTAATCAAGGCTTTCAGTATTACATAATTTTTGTTGATGATTTTTCTAAATACGTTTGGTTATTTCCACTTATGTTTAAATCGGATGTAACGAAAACATTTATTCAATTTGTCACCCAAATCGAACGTCAGACTGATCGTAAATTAAAAGTTTTCTGAACTGACGGTGGCGGTGAATTCTTAAACAGGGAATTTCGTAATTTTACCTCTAATGCAGGCATTCTTCATCAAACCTCCTGCCCCTATACACCCGAACAAAACGGAACCGCTGAGAGAAAACACCGCCATATTGTTACAATCACTCGTACTCTTCTTCAGCAATCAGGACTACCGAATTCACATTGGCTCGATGCAGCACTTACTGCAACATACTTAATAAATCGAATGCCATCCTCCCACACTGCTACACTGACTCCGCTCCAACGCATGTTTGGCATCCTTCCGTCATACGCACACTTGCGTACTTTCGGCTGTGAATGCTATCCTCTTCTTCCTCCGACACAGCGTAACAAACTTTCTCCTACCTCTGCTCGGTGTATATTTATAGGATATTCAGACACTATGAAAGGTTACCGGTGTTTGAATACTGACAATAAAACAGTTATTATTTCTCGTCATGTTCGCTTTAATGAAAATGTTTTTCCTTGTAAAGCCACAGTTCCTGCAGGGAATTCTGCTCCAGCCACCATTCCGCCCTCCTTACTTCACCCAACCTCAATTCTGTCATCCAAGGAGGCGACTGTCTCTTCTTCCTCCTCGCAGCTTCTTCCGGCACAACAAGCCCGATATGATCAGCAAGTTCCCTCCGTCCTGTCAACATCTGCAGGATGTGGGGTTCAAGAACCAAATGCAGTTTCAGCTCCAAAATCAACACATCCTATGACCACTCGACTGAAAACCGGATCCCTTAAGCCAATAACCAAGCTAAATTTGATCCATGCTACACAACCACATACTGATCCAACAACATTTTCTGAAGCCAGCAAACATATCGAATGGTGAAAGGCAATGGAAGAAGAATTCTTCGCTTTACACAAGCAGGGCACCTGGGAACTTGTTGCACCGCCAGCAGATGCATCCATAATTGGATCAAAATGGACGTACCGAACAAAATTCAATTCGGATGGCTCCATTGCAAGATTCAAAGCTAGGCTCGTGGCTCAAGGAAACCAACAAGAATACGGCTTAAACTATCGAGATACTTTTAGTCCGGTAGCTAAGCTACCAACTATTCGAATTTTATTTACAATCGCATTGTTCTTCAAATGGTCTGTTCACCAATTAGATGTCGCCAATGCGTTTTTACATGAGGAGATCAACGAAATTGTATACATGAAACAGCCCAAAGGGTTTGAAGACTCTGCCTATCCGAATCACGTCTACCGACTCCGCAAGGCCATCTATGGGTTAAGGCAAGCGCCACGGCAGTGGTACACTACATTTACGTCGTATCTCCTCAAGCTCGGCTTCACTCACAGTCAAGCAGATCCCTCACTGCTTCTTCTACATCGAGACAGGATTCAAATCTACCTGTTAGTTTATGTTGACGATATTCTGCTCACGGGTAATGACACGAAAACTATGACAGCTCTCGTAAATCAGCTCAAATCTCAATTTACTATGAAGGATCTCGGAACAGCTCATCAATTTCTTGGACTCCGAATCGATACTCATCCAGATAAGTATTTCATGTCTCAATCTGTTTATGCTCAATCTATTATAAACATTGCCGAATTGCAAAAATGCAATTCGGTGGCTAATCCGTGTACAAATAAATTGCCAGTTATCTCTTCTGACGCGGTACCCTGCTTCTCTCTACCGGTCTACCGTCAACTAATTGGATCTCTCCAATACTTGACTTTAACGCGTCCTGATATCGCATACGCAGTTAATATGCTCTCTCAGCACATGCACAAACCGGAGATTCAACACACAATTCTGTTAAAGAAATTGATCAAATACATCAAAGGCACCATCGCTTTCGGTCTACCAATCACGCGTTCAACTCTTTTGCTTCGCACATTTTCTGATGCGGATTGGGCCTCGGATCCTCTCACTCGCAAGTCGACGTCCGGTTTCTGTACCTTTCTCGGCAACACATTGGTGTCCTGGACTGTAAAGAAACAGCCAACGGTTTCAAGGTCATCAACAGAGTCCGAATACAGAGCGTTGGCTTCGGCAACGGCAGACACAATCTGGATTAAACGCCTTCTCGTCGAATTCCGCATCCCTCACGTTTCTCCAGTGGACATATTCTGTGATAACACTGTGAGACCTCGTTCCCTTACTGTTCCTCTCTGATTTGGATTTTCCTCTCAGGATCATCCGGGACGATAGTGGGATCGTCCAGGCCGATCTGCACTGTAGAAAATATCGGCCTGAGAATAGTCCTGGGAACCGTCCAGGACGATTTTTTTTGGTCTGATCGTCCCGGGACGATTTGGCGATCGGCCGGGCCGATCTGCTTTATGATATATGAAAATCAGCTCGTTTTGATGAGAGAGAAAATCATTTTAAAACAAAATATCTGTTTTGAGGAGAGAGAAAGAGAAAAGGAAAAAGAGGAAGCTTGGTTTTGGAGGCCGCGGAGTGCTTTTCGTCCGACGTCGCTGTTGGGAAAAGTGAAGATCTCGTGGTAAGGACTCCGAACCCTATTTCTGTTTTCAAAGATATTGAGTTTTGAC